GAACTAAAGAGACACTTGAAAAACACTTTTATTCTGATTCTACGCTTTTCAGAATAAATTATTCATTGCGAAAATTTCATATTTCAAGACTCTAAATCTGATGGATAATATACTTTTAGTATGACATTTTTTCATAACTTACTAACCATACTCTTTTCTGATTCCTCTATCTACAAAGGAATTGTCCTTTTTATAACTATACTGAATATCAAAATGTATGTATGTATTATCAAACTAAACGTTCATTAAAATTGAACATGATTATTGTTTCTATGGAAAATGAATTCCAATTTAATATAATGTGGGATTAATGTAAGCTGTGCTATTGATTGAATGTATTCTATAGAATGAACTAGCTTCATCTTGAGGATAACTTTTTTACAATTGATTGATCACTCAGTAGTGACCAATATAATTTGTGTCATGTTCTTCTTAGTACTAATCAAGTTGTAAATACATAAGGTCAATCCCCAACCTAATAGCTCTATGGTAACGTCTCAGATTGTGAATCTGATTAACATAGAATAAAATCAGTCAAGGAGCATCAAAGTCCTTCAAAATTACAAATATGTTTTGTTTATGAATGCCAGATAACATAAAATCTAGATAACTATTAGTCACCTATAATTGATATCATTCCTTAATAAAAAGTGACTATCAGTTGATTAACTTGAAAAGAAATTAATAACAATAAAATAGTGTACAATTGCTCACCTTTTCCATGGATATTCTCCAACAATAATGTCAAAATAATTGTAATAAATAAAACTGATACTTTCAGCATATTCTTTGTTAAATGTTTGTTCTGTTACAACGAAAATTCTCTATCTGTCAACGATATATATATATATATATATATATATATATATAACCTGGTGACTAACCCAAAAAGGGGTGCCCATTTCATCTAGTTTATAGTTATTATTTCAGATAACATACATTGAGAATAAAATGTTTTCCTATGGTTATTTGAACTACATAACTACAGTATTATTTATTTACTTAATTGCTAACAATTAATTCATATCTGACCCCAACTAATTGCCGGAAATAAGCATAAAACTAATTATTTCTTATAAATGTTTACTAATAGATGTTATTTTTTTATTTATATTAACTATCTATTTGGTATGAAGTTGATTTGTGCATTTGAAGTTTTAATCTGTCAATGATTCAAGATGGTTTATTTATATAACTGTGAATATTCATAAAGTTCTTTCTATGAAGTTTGTTTATTCGATCTACTAAGGTTTATCAATAAAATTTATTTGGAACCTTAAAGTGATTGTTTCGTTTTTCCTTAAGTTCAAATAGTTGTCTACGGAAAATACTTCGGATCCGTTGGCCAGATACTATCAGAAACAGCCTACTATGGGAGAGAACAAACCAGATCCTAGTGAAAGAAGAAATCAGGAAGAAGCGCTAGAAGTGGATAGGACACACATTAAGGAAAGCACCCAAATGTACCACAAGGCAAGCCCTCACATGGAATCCTCAAGGCCAAAGGAAAAGAGGAAGACTAAAGAACACATTACGTCGAAAAATGGAGATAGACATGAGAAAAATGAACAAAAATTGGATAGGTCTGGAAAGGAAGGCGGGCAGAGTGGGTTGAAGAATGCTGGCCAGCGGCCTATGCTCCATTGGGAGTAACAGGCGTAAGTAAAGTAGAAAAAGTAACAATCTTCAATTGACTCATGATCTCAACCATTGAAATTACTATAATATCCACAAAATCCCTTCTGGTATTAATCAACATATGCTCACTAGTAACTGGCTTCAAAAGGTATATCATGGAGTTTTAGTGAGAAGCAGTGATTAATGGAGTTCAGCCAGGTCTGCTGTGAGATAGTAACTCACTGATGACAACGGTGGATGTGTTGTTGAATTTTTCTGATTAGTTGAAGTTAAACATTAACACCATTGGATGCCGGCCGGCTCAGTGTTCTAATAGTTAAGCGCTCGCGTGAGAGACTGATAGGTCCTGGGTTTGAACCTCACGAGGCAGAATCGTGGATGCGCACTGTTGAAGAGTCCCACAATAGGATGAAATGACCGTCAAACAGTGCTTCCAGGTTTTCCATGGTGGTCTAGCTTCAATTGGCTCATGATATCAACTACTGAAATTACTATAATATCCACAAAACCCCTTCTGATATATTTGTTTTATTTGCTTGATTTCTGTGAATTAGTTCAAACTATCACAAACAACAGATAAAGAACTATTCCACACTAGAGTATATCGAATAGTTATTTCACCCTTGTTTGAGATACTTCAGAATAGTGGGCTTAAAAAATTTATCGGCTTATACAGACCTGTAACAAAACCTATTTCAAATTGAGCTAATCTCTATAAACTATCCAGTTAAGAAACTATTATACACAAAACACTGACCATATTCAAGGTGAATTTACAAAGTTTTAATAAGAATTCATGGCTGAAAATGTCTGAAGTGAGATAATCAAGCACGAATTACATTCAGTATTGAATGTGTTACGTTCCAACCTGACTGAATATAAACATATAGACCGTTGAATTTTGAATCACCTGTAGAACTAGAGCTCTTGAATTTGGCCGTTTTTAGTGCTTTAGGTGCTCACTGTAGTGGATTTCTGTACTAAGATCAAACAACAGTTCAATACTTTATTATTTCACCAAATGATATCAGCCTGAGAAGTAAACTTTCTTCAAATCTCTAGTTAACTAAATGAAAAAGTCGTCATTTATGGTGAGTAGACGTTTTGTTGTACTTCAGTATTATTTAATAATAGCTTATATTCTGAACTTTTCATTCAGACTTTTCTCCTTAGAAATTTGATGGATGCCAATTCTTGGAAAGTGAGACATGATAATCAGGGAAATAAACCCCAACTATGAGCAGAAATATATGATTATTATTCGGTACGTTATCTATTTTCATGATGATATTACTACTAGATCAGGTACAATGAACCAATCAAATTATGAAATTCATCTAAACTACTTCTGTGGCATTAAAACACATGTATTACTCGTAGTATACGAAATGCCTAGTTATTCATTTTATAATGAAATCGTTTTACTTTTCTTCTGCACTGAACGAGTATTATCGAAATCATTCATGAGTGAATACTAAACCACGTCGTTAAATTTCATCCACTTGAACTCTTTCAATAATTAAGTACTTTTTTTTACTAAAAACAAGAAAGACCCTCCTGTTTGTCAGATAAGCGGTTGAAAGTCAAATTGAAATTTCCGACAGACCCTATGCAAAAACTAATCATGATAAAGCATTCAATGGTTAGAAAACTGAAATAATAGTTCACTATGTTTAGTCTTTAGAATATGTTGAAGTAACTCATGATAGCATAAACCACTCGTCCAGTAACAGAGGTTCTATCTTAAAGAATTAAATGATAGTCTTTCGAATGGTAGATTGTGTGGAAATGTAGAACAAAGGTCGATGAATATTCAGAAGTTCCACATTATTATCTTTATCAAAATAAACGAAGGTTAATATTTAAATCAAATTTAAAGTATATGTTGTTGTTTTTTTCAAGAATTATATGGTCGTTCAAACCCTTGGTTTATCGATTTGGTTTGAAAATAATTTCCATTATAGAATCAGGTTAGGTGAAGAAACATTGGGAATCAGAGATCATTTAACATCTCGTTTATTATAACTTTAGATTTTTCATTGGCGAGTATCCACAAACTAATTTTCTATTGAATCCAAAATATTTTTTACATTTTGGTTAGTCCCGGCATAATTCAGCTAGTTAACAACAGTCGAATATGGTAACAATGTTTGGATCAAATGTATATCTAGAAACATCTGTTCTGATGAATGACTAAATGCTTATTCGAGGCTTTCAAAACGCATATCCCAGAAAACTGATGAAAAACTATAACCTTAATCATTAAACAAATATCTATCGACGACGTTTCCCAAAAATTACACATGGCGGATCATGCAAAGTATAAAATTTTAATCAACTCAATCTGTATGACATTCAGATCTTAACTTTGGAACTGCATGAGATTTTCAGTGTACACTGTGAGGAATTCTTAAGCTGAAACAAATTATATCTTTAATGGTCTCTGTTATGTCCCGATAAGAATAATGAATGGTAACTTTTGGGATCCATTTATGGACCAATACTATGCGCACATGTTTATCGTATAATTGTTAAAAAACTAAACTATTCCTATCCAGATCCCTCTTGTTATGAGCTTTATTTTGACCTATGAACTATTATTATACGATATATCATTCTTGAATTGTGCCCTGTCTATTAATTACTACCTCCCACACTCACAGTCACAGTTAGCTAAGTCTTGTACAAATGTTATCTTCCATTTTATGGTACAATGTGATCTGTCTGGTTGGTATATAAACCCAGTATGCTTGAAATATCGCAGAGGCTGAGATTGGTGTTCTGGACTTAACTGACTTGGCTAGGCAGGAAGCAGGACCGATAAGTACTGTAGACTGTTCGCATGGGTCTTATGCGTCGTCGGTCCGATCGATAATTCTCTGCTCTCTAACTGGCGGTATCATTACGTTATACATTAACATAGCACACAGGCCACCATTTATAACAATCTCTAAGCTCTAATCAATTTGTCAGCTCATATCGACTAGTTTTATGATGTGTATTATTAATCAAATGAGTTCTTTTATGATTCTAAATGCGAATATCAGTATCCACATGAAATGTCACACGGCTATGGATAGATGACAACCCTATCAATATTTTATTTAAAGTACACTTCTTTTAAAAACCATCGTTTTTATTCGAACAGTTTTCAACTTATCCTAACACTCTTCCTACTGAAAACAGTGAAAAATACTCATTCACTATTAGTAATAAATAACAATTCTTTGCAAATAAATAATCTTTCTATATTTTATATCCTTTTAAATAAATAAAAGTTAATTCTGTTTTATAAAATGTAATCAATAAAATAAAGTAACGAAATACACATGTTACACTTTGTAACTAAGATACATTATTTATTATTTACATTTAAATAACCAGCAGTTCCTTGAACAACACTCTCCATTGTGTAAACATGAATAACCAGTTTGTATACATCTAACACATTTTCCATTGAATGGTCCAGTAAGTTCACATACATTGCTACCACAACATTTGTCAAATACAGTTTTCATACATGATTCTCCATATTCTTTGCAAGCACCTGGAACAAATATATAGTGAAAAGAAAAAAAACTTAAAATTAAACATACCCAAAATGTTGTCTCTATCTGTACAGTGAAACTGTTAACAGACTGGTCGTCAGTGTTAAATATCACGATTTAATGTCATTTCCTTTCACTGATCAGATAAACTAATAGATTTTTGAAATAAGTTCTTACTATTTCTATTTATGAATAAATTCTTCAAAACTATAAAACGATCTCATCACTACAAGTGATGAAAGAGCTTAGATCAATTTTGAATACTCATAACCGCAAGTACTTCTGAAGAAAATGTTCAAAGATAAACAAGAATGTCTCTTTTTTGAATTCATTTTCACTAATAACTGAGGTAATTTGACAAAACATCGTAAAAACCAAATAACAATGACCATCTACTATGAAAATTCTTCAAAATCCCATAAAAGAATGAGTCCGAGACGTTCATATATCATAACAAGCATAATATCTTTTAAGCACTGAATTCAAGGCTTAGAGTTGTTTTATTTTTCTTTCTTCACTTTTTCCACTTCTATTTGTTAATGATATCGATTCATAACTATAACAATATAATACCTATTAATATTTTTCTAACTAAAACAATCAATTAGATTTTAATTCATTTTTACCGGGTTTTTTTTTCTTCTTTTTGTTTGTACAGACAAACAAATTTCAATGTGTTTTTCTGTCAACCATTAATTTACGTAAATATCATTGAGTATTCTGAACAATTCTTCCGATAACTAGATACATTTTAACAGATGTACTGAATAATTAGTATAAAATTGTTATGTATATGCGATAGAATTAAGTTAATTATTATCTGCATAGGCTTTGGGCATTTATTGAGTTTTCATTGGGATCCATGTTAAATTACAACTGAAAACTTGGATAGTCGTTTCGTCCTAGGATAAGACTCTTCAAGAATACGCACTGTTAACAACTAAAAATCATTATCTGTTTATCATTTCATTGAAATCAAACACAAAATGAAATTAAGATCACTAATCATGCTCAGTTTTCAACTTTTAAACATCATACAATGAAATATAGATTATGAGTAGTAAACGAAGTAATCTTTTAGTTTTTAGCTGCATACCGATTACAAATTGAGTATGAACGTTAGAAATATCTACTAAATTCTTTTTAGCATTTAATACCTAAAGGATTGGTACTGACCAAGGACAAAATTAGTAATAGAAAACAATACTACAAATCTATTGATAGAAATGAATATTCTTCATCATAGAAACTTTTCTCTAATTGAATACTGAATAAATTAAATTAATTGGTGTAATGATACCGATCAAAATGAATTGATATGAAAATTAAAAAAAGATAGCATTAAATAATGAAGTGAATAATGGTAGATTATTTGAATTTCACTGGTTAAACCAACATAGAAATTCATACAACCTACCATCAATCTGAACAATCTCCAATAATACTGTGCAAATGACTATAAATTCAATTTTAAAACATAACCTCATGTTTTCCTGTATAACAATGTGACAGTATATATATATATGCATCCAAACAGGATGTAATCATTTAAGCAATTAAGTCAGTCTATGATTTGATATAATTACAACACAATGTTGAATAAATTTAAAAGTTGCGTTCTTTTTTTATATTTATTTAAATAATAATTTATTAGGTATTAAAACAAATTGCTGTTGTTGCTTTGAAAACATTCCTTGTAGTAGTTGGTTGTATCTAGGTGTACTTGTACCAATTCTCAAATAACTATTATTATTATTATTATTATTATTATTATTATTATTGAAATCATGTAGTGATACTAAGCAATCGTCCTGTAAATTAATTAACCAAGATTGGTGAATTGTAATGACAACACAATTACTATACATGTTTTGACTTAGTAGGAATTGAAGATAGTTCACCTTGGTAATTAGTGATTGGCAGTTAGAATTTAACAGCTTGGGAATCGACATATTGCCAACGATAACGATGACTCTTATTGTACGTTTTTGTAACTTGTGCAGGGAAAGGTTGTAAGCTTTTCGTAAACGTGCCCGTATAGGTTATGCGATTGGTAGACATAATGTCTTAAAACAAAATTTAAAAAGAAACAGATAACTTTCTAAAATATTTAGCTGTCAGAAACAGGTAACCCAGATAATCAATCAGGCCACCGATTCAATTGAATATGCTGACTATATCTAGTTAGTAGGAAAACTCGAAAAGAACCTACGGTATTACTAATGACAATAATAATAATAATAATAAAAAACAAATATCATTTGATAAATCTTTTATTTAGCTTCTTCATCAAGACATTGAATAGATTGTCAGTTTGAAACTAGTTAATTAAATTCTATTAACTATCAAGCAGAAATCACTGTTTTTTGAGCTCTGTCGATGACTAATGAATACGTCCATGAATAGAAGCCAATAATCTGTTTCACATGTTGAAATGTTATTTTATACAATTAATTTCTAGGTTAAGTATAATGATTAACAAAATTTGATTAATTAAACAGTAGCAGAAATTATGCTTAAAATATGGACTCACTCACACGGTGGTTGATTCTTTTCGATACGTAGTTATCGTAATTGGTTACCAAAACTCTTCATACTGATAACATTTTCTCGACATATCACTTACAGACTATGTATTCGTGGTCCGTCTTTTTTGGAATTCTATCTTTTCTATAGTTACAGAGTTTTTAGATGAAACACATTCCAGGTGAAAAAAGCAAATAACGAATTATGGTACTATCTAAGTAGGACAGTACGCAACGGATTCCAAAATAATTTTCTCATCGAAAAATTTCAGTACAATCAGTTATGTTCAGTGAATAAATATAAAAGGCGGAATTTGCAACACTTAATGCGGTTCTGTGTAGTATATATTTATAAATTACCAATAAACCTAAATTGATTCTTGGTAAATTCGAAGTCCTGAAAACAATTCAAACTACTCATAAGTAGCTGAAATTTAAACCCTTATTTGATCTATCAGATAAGCTTAATGAAATTTATAAAATAGCCAAAGTTAAAAAGCATTGAATAACGTTTTCATCACAGTTTCTATCTTTTTTGACCTGATCGAACTTTATTCATTCCTTAATAAAACTGATCCAAATGAACTAGATCCCTTTTAAACTATGTTATGAAAGTATCTTTGTTATGTTTCTGGAACTAATAACGCTATTTGATATTAAAGGTGTGTAAAAAATATCTTTACGCAGAAAACCTATACACTAAAGTTCTTATGGTCAGTTTGTAGTATACAATAGTTGTTTACATTGTCGATACAACTTCGATTTTTAGATATACACTTCTGGTCTTTAAAACATTCTGAATGACCTCTACCATTCCGAATATTGAAATATCTAACCAGGAGAGAACTAATAGCTGTCTAAAGGCTTTCCCAAGTTGGAAAGACTACTTAACAGGATTATTAGTGTTACATTAATGTTTTTTGCCACTTGATTATTTATATCATACTATTGTAACGATAATAACAAGGTTATAATTGCTCACCCATATTTTATGGATTTATTAGATGTTTTCATTTGTTTATAACTAAAAGTTAAACTTTTCTCCAATGACTATATAGTTAAATAATCACAAATCTCCTATCTAGATGGAACCAATTAAACACAATATCTTAGTAATTTGCTAGGTTACTGATTTTACCTATTAACAAATTGTTTACAGTTTTAACACTCTTATTATAAACTTACCTTAATGTTTATAAATAAACTGTCAACTGACAGATAACCGATTGTTGCATATTGATTTTATATCCAACTATTATACCTAGATAATTTTGTATAAGCGAGAGGTGGGTTTAATGAGTGACAGTTAATCTGCAAATGTTTTGCATTCTTAATTAATCCCTTTCCTAATTCTCTCACCCAAAGGATTTTTTTACAATGATTGAATCAATTCACTGGAAAATTCTATTGATAACTATCGAGAAAGATTTTCGTTGAAATTGATGATGGTACTTACTAAATTGTGAGTAGCTTATATCGTGTACAAAAATGGTTAGATTTTTATGGATATGATCGGTTTATTAAGGATAGCGAACAATCATCCCTTCTTTATTGACTATTATTCACTGTGTTCCTCATCTATATTTATGAAAGATCAACTGACAACCTAGAACTGATTAGATTATTTTTTACGCTTGCCTAGTTAACATAGTCGCATTAATTTTGAAAATAAGTAGAATAAGTTTCTCAATATTTTGAGGCATTTATCGAGCAGTCCTCAGAGATGAAACACATATATTTTGCTACTGTATTTAAGAACTTGAAACTTTCATTAATCTATAAGATATTCAACACAAACTTCATGATTTAACTACGGCTCAGTATTCTAAACTTGACACTTAACTAATAAGCAATCAGTTTAAACTTACTCAGTAGCAATGTTTTGTGCTAGCAAGTAGTTCTAATAAGTCGTTATCATTTTATTTAGTCCAGATTTGTGAAGTGCAATCTACACATCATTATAACGTCTTCTAACATCTGCTGAATGGGCCCATGTCAATTTGGGACTTAGCACTTTAATGAGAAAATCTAAATTTTAATAGTTGAGATCATGAGCCAATTGAAGCTAGACCACCATGGAAAACTTGGAAGCACTGTTTGACGGCCATTTCATCCTATTGTGGGACTCCTCAACAGTGCGCATCCACGATCCCGCCTCGTGAGGTTCAAACCCAGGACCTATCAGTCTTGCACGCGAGCGCTTAACCATTAGAACACTGAGCCGGCCGGCATCCAACGGTGTTAATGTTCAACTTCAACTAGTCCACGAAATTCGGCGACACATGTACAATTATTTTCAGTGTGTTACTATTGTTGATTATAAAAAGACAAAATGCTTTTTACAGTTCATATTATTAATCATTGTTTATATACACTTTTTTCAATTAACAATGAGTAAGCAGGTGAATTTAAAATACAGAAAATGTGGTTTATGCAGTTATCCTGAAAAAATAATAATATTCCAGCAACTTTTACAAGAATGAAAAAAGAAACCACATACACATATCTTAATCATGCATAAAAATGAATGAATGAATGAATGATAATGAGGTAAGTGACCTTCCAGTTAGTTACTTTCCAATGATTGGTTTCTTTCGTTTTTTTCTCTTGATAGACAATGAAAATGGAAGTTTATATTCTTATTTCAATATAACCTATTTATCATTTGATCTTTTTAAAAAAATTATTCGTTGCAATTACATAATTTTGTTTTCATAAACATATTTTAAAAAAAATAGAAGAAATTCAATAACTTCTTGTATTCTAAATGCCTATACTTTAGGAATTCGATAAATGTAAAATATAAATACGGTAAACATAAAAATATAAAGTGTTGTTGAAACAGTTAATAGTGTACTTGAATTACATCCATTTTTATTGTTACAATTACAATATCGAACCTTAACACGATAAGTACCCAAACGATCTATACACCAACGACCATCTTCTGCACCAATCACACCGGTTACAGCACAATCTCTATAATAACGTCTAGTCCATTTTCCATCTAGATACACTGTAAAAATAAATGGGTACGATTTTTTTGTATATGAACAATTGCAGTATTATTTAGACTTTAATGAAGCGATGCTGAGGGAAGACTCAATATATTACGTAAAAATTATAAATCGATTGATAAGATAGTGAATCTTTATCAACTGAGGTAGGTTAGACATGCATAATGTGCCCCCAACCACGTTCTACCTCTATGTGTGATGTTTCCTGATGTGATAATGGGTTTGAAAAATCAAAATCAGCACATGGCATTAGTCCATAAAATTGCTGACTGCCGGATTGAGTTGTGTAAGTGAATAAAAACTACGTAGTCCATGTGCGCTAGGTTATTTTGGCCCATTTTTTGAAAACAATGGGTTAAATGGCTCGAAATTGGTCTTAGTGATGCACACTGTTTTTTTCTTAACATACCCATACATTTTATCCCCTAGATTCATTCTTCTCTCTGGAATAATTTTCCCATACTTAATATTTTCTGCTATTATTGGTGCTGTTAATACTTCTATCTCTTTCAGCCGATATGCTATGGTGATCTTAATCAACACATATATGTGCCAGGCTGTCAGGGTGTTTTAAATCGATTCCTCACCAAATCTTGAAAGTTGATAAAACAAAGGATAAATAGATACTTATATTGTCATTAAGGCGCTAAAAGATATCTATGATGTAGAACTGTATTTCCATACATCACAACTTGTGATCGATACGTCTATGGTTTACGAACGAACTATTAATGTTAACGATGCAATCCAGCAAATACTAGTGAAATGGTGAGTAAACTTCTAACATTGAAAGTAAATTGTGATGTGTTATATACAAATATAATTTAGTGACGCGATTTCTTAGCAATAATACTCCAAGACAGCACACTGATCATACATAAGCTTCTCAGTTAACTAGTACTCTACTCGTAGTATAAAAAATTGCGATTGGTTTTTTTATGAAGTACTGACGAGTCAACTAACTTTTTTATAACACCAGTGCTTCGAACGTCCTTATTTATCAGGTATTTGATGACAGGGAAAAACACTAAGGTAGTTGTTATAGAGTTCACAAATACTCATATTCATCAAAACATACGGGCGCTTAGTACTGGTTTGTTAAACTACAAGGAAATCCTTCGCTACAATGAAACTGATTATTTTCCCTAATATTTTACTGACTTTATTCAACATTACATTTTTGATACAATATATAATTCCCAGCAGAAACGAACGACTGAAAATCTTTCTAGAGTGTACTCTTACAATTCATCTATGAATGTGATATTATGAAAATTACTCTATCAAAAATTACCACTTTAACTGAGTCTGTGGTACGGAGGAATAGTCACATAACTCAGTACACTAGTTACATTTTTGCGCTACATAAATTTAATCTTATGCTATCGTAGAGTGTGTTTGTATATTAGGTCGTTAATTTTTAACCTTATAACAATCTGAAGATGACTAGTCTATTGTTCAAACGAAAAATTGTAAGTAGTTGCAAAAACAATAGACAGATTAGTGACAAGAGGCTTGAAGTGATTTTAGTCACTTTTTGCGATTCATAAATCTATCACCGCCATACTAGTTTTGTCCACTATCCTATGATCATTTTATATTTGTGGTGTCTAAGTAATAATAAGTATACAGTAAATATATGTGGCTTCTGCCTCACCAGTACATTACCCTTTACGTGCCTTCCGTGTGAACTCTTTTTGTAAGAAACAAACTGTGTTCGACACAAGAAACTCACAAGACCGTCACAAAAACATTAAATTGAGTCGAAGGGTATAAATTACACTCATAGCTGTCATTAAGAGTGATGAATGCCTAACATTATATTGGTATTTGCAGTATGTTGAATCGCTTTTATTCGAAAGATGATATAGCTACCAGAAACATAAGTTCTAAGCATATAAAAAATACGGTACAATCTAACAGGGTACTGCTGTTTACATATTTACTTAATCGCTACTGAATTATTAATGGCTCAACACAGTGAGCTCAGAAGCCCACATGAATATTGTCAACTCAATTAGTTAGTTTCTTTTATGCATTGTATGCACTTACACCTCCGAAATAACCATTTTAAATACTTTATGTTGAAGGACTCCGACAAAAACCGCCGAATATCTTGGTAGTAATGAAACCTTTCCTAATATTTTATCAACTTGCTTCATAAATTTACATTTGAGTCGTTTTCTCAAGTAAATAACGTGTATATCACGGAACTAATGACAATCGTAACTAGAAAAGTGTAAATGACCAATGAGTTCCCGTGAGACTAGTGTCGTATATCTATGGCAAATATTGAGCTAAGCTGAATGCTATTACCGGAACCCTCCTCAAGCTTACCAATGACTGGAACTTTTCATAGTCATAATCATAGTTACGCAATTTCGAGTAACATTTATAGCAAGAACAAATTCAGTATGTTAGTGGAAATTCGACTGAAAAAGAGAGGTTATAATTAGCCTATGCAAAATCGGTAATAAAACAAATTATTCTGCTTAAACATACCGTACTAGTGAATCAGTACAAAGCTCATACAATGAACCTAAATTAAAGATTTTAAAATCAAATTAGCCTTAATTTCGTGATGTATCAAACCAAGTTTTTTCCTGAAAATAGCCTAAAACTATCTGCTAATCGATTTGTTATCCGTTAAAAATTAAAAAAAGATGGGTAAATATGGTTGAAAAAACATCCTTAGAGACAGTGTTGTTATTACAAAATTACTTCAATAGGATTGAAGCGGGTAACGACGTTATATTTTGCACATATATCAGAATAGTTCTGATATTCCAGGAAGCAAGAGAAAATCAAGGTTAAGGGGACAAAAATGTCCCAAAGAACTTATATACAATTCTGAAGACTGTGAGTCATCAACTAGAAAATTTATGCCTTAAGACAATCTAACCAGTCAAATTTTGAGCAATACAGACATATTCCCCAAAACATTGAGCAACGTCGTTTTAAGCTAACTCAAGGTTGTCAGTATTTTAGCTGAGTATTAGACACCGTTTGCAGCAAATTATGATGAAGTTTACTGAGAAAGAATGCAGTGCAACACGAAAAAGAATAATTAAAGGAATCTCTATGTTTAACCACACAGCAAATTATATTTTTTCAAAGAAAATAAGTATGTAAAAACCCACTGAATTTCTTAGAAATCTCGCAACATAATTCGCTAATTTTACCATCACTTTGTACGGAAGATATACAACATCCTAGAAAATAACTGGAATTTCGACAAAATCACTGCCAAATTTATTTGTTCGTGGAAACCCTTAAACTAGCGCATGATCAAGTGCTAGTTTAAATAGATTTACGAAATACGAATTCGATTTGAGTGAGACGACATGAAAGCAACCAAACTCGTGTACTCACTTTCCTGAATCATCTTAACACACCTAGAATAATTTCTTCCATCATTCGGACAGGCAACCAGTGGAAAAGTTCGATTATCAAAATAGTCTGCACAGTGAGGTTGTGTTAGTGAGTTACATTGATAACAACGCAGTTCTGGTCCGATACCTAATACCATGCATTAAATTAGAAAAGAAATTAACGATAGATGCCCCACCTACTTGACATACACCTGCCGAAGTCATTATTATAACTAAAACCAATCGCAGCATCATTTCCGGGATTTGAATATGTGCCATTTACACCAAACTACACACGTATCCCACCAAAACAAATTCAGTAAGACGCAGTGTTAAACTAATTTGACGAAAAACTTCAAACATCAAGTGTCCTCTGTTTCTGTAAGCAAATTTCTACTATAATTTCATCAAACATATCGTATTATCATAATCACCATTTTACAAGCTAGAACACAAGAGGCTACTAGTGACCTTGTTTTTTGTACGGAATTCGGGATCTTTACTTGAGCGTCTTAATGGTTCAATCCTTGATGGCACTGGTGAGATGAGAATTTGTTTCAACGAACGTTTCGCCACGTAAGCCGTTAGGATTCATTTGTCACTTTTGTTAGGACGACTTAGTTTGAAGATTGGGAAAATTGCTGTTCTCCGGCAATTATCTATACTGCAAAAACAATTTTTAGTTGTCATCAAAAGTAAAGGATATTCATTGGGACTGCAGGAAAACCGATTGCTACTGAGGAAAAAAGACGGAACGAAAAACTTAAAAACTCTACTTCCATAGACAATAAACCACCTCTCTTCTAAGAGATAACAAAGAGATTCTCCAATTTCTCTGAGGCTATTAGCCTTCCAGTTACTCGGGGGAAGTTTATGTAGGCCAGTTATTAACGGGAAAACGGGAAACCTGTGGCAAATACCGAGGAGACAGAGTTCTGACCTTAACTACACATCGCGTTCTATAAGACAACCAGTAGTAAGAATTATCGATTTAATTTTGATAATATCTAGGACTTACTGCATTCTCCCACTCAAAACCCACAGCATTATTACAGCTTGCCTCTTTAAAAGCCATACAGAACTCGTAGCAAGTGCAGACGTGCAGTGATTGGTTACTAAATTAAGCGGCAAACCATATGAAGATCAGCTTCATCACCTGTGGCTATTCTCAATATCCCAATGGAGAAAGAAAGGCAACTGCTTCATGGCGTGAAAAATACCGAATGCCTCATATATCAGCATAAAGTACTCTAACTGGAAGCCACCATGGCCGTTTGTGTGTAACTCAGATGAGTCTACTTACATCGTGGATGGTGCACATCCGCTTGGTTATTGCTAGATTTCTAGATTCAGAAGGTGGCATTACTTTGAATATTTTATGCACAGAACAAAGAGTTTGGGGAATTACTAAAATGGGTAGGATTAACAGAGATTTCAGCAAGGCCTGTGTATATAATATTAAAATCAGAGATGGGATAACTTCTTGAATGATTAAAGCCATTCGCCATCATGAAAAAGACTCTCCAAAGGAAATTTCCTAAGCTGGTGAACACTTCTGCATCTCACATCAAATTAACTTTCGAGAACGAGAATGGGATCTGTGAGTTACTATTTTCAGTTGCTAGGACTATAGGAACTTAATGGCAGTTTTAATCTAACCATCTACCCTAAGCTGAAACGCTCGAATAGGTGAGATAATTGCAACTTGACACATTCAAATGGCGTGAAAGATTCTTTAGCTCTAAACTGGCTCAAACAAGTGTTATAAATCAAAACATTAGATGAAAGTAAAATGATTAAAAAATGAATAATCTAAAACTTAATAACTAATCCATGAATGTTATCGTAGATATCTCAGACGAAGCAGTCTAGGATTTTTTCTCGAAACTTGTTAAATAATTGTTAGAAAATAATTTGACGATTTTTGAAACCCTAGACAATATTAAGTGATGTAGATCTAGCACCTTTGTATTTAGAAAGCTAAGGTTACAAGATCACTGTTTTGTTCAACATAATTCCAGACATCAGGGACAAATGACATTAATGCCAGGTCCTTTCGTACGTTTACAGGGAATACAATTGTGAAGATATGAGACAAATTAATTTAATATCGATGTCGAGAATACAGAACATTGTAATGTCGTTGTTAGTGATAAAACGGATGGATTTTAAATATTTTTCTTTCTGCGGTAACTTAATTTATATCAGGTACAACCAAAACAGAGAACCAGAATTACATTTCTTTTTGCGCAATTACAAGTAACCACTTCCAGTGAGTCAGGAGCAGAAATCAATTAGTGGAGAAGTCACATAGTTAGGAGTAAGTTGAGTGCCTGTTTGCATGCACTCAATGAGCAATTTCATTTACTTTCACCACCATACATCAATTTATACTGGACATCGCGTACCATAAGACGATACGGCTTCATTTTGGACGTATCGGTATGAGTAGATCCAGCCACCTTTTGAGCTGATAATCAACTGACATGAAATTCGTTCTGGGTTCATCAACGTTGCGGAGTGTACTTGATGTGTGGGCGAGCTTGATAATCATTGCTTGTCTGCATAGTCAGACATTCAGATAGTCTGACAGGTGTCAGATGAGTTATATGCTCCTCCATCCTCACTTATTATTGATTGTTCATTGTTTTGGATTGTGCCGGGATTCTGGTGTGGAAACATATTTACGCTGTGATCAGGCTAATCACGTATTCTTGATCTGAGTTTTGTTGAAGCCCCGCAGAATAGACACTGGGAGGGAATCTAGTGTAGATAATCGTTTAAGATAAGTTAGAGTCCCATACGTGTAAATGTGGAAACCCAACCGTTATAACAATAGACGAAGTAGAACCGAGTGTTTTAACAGTACTCATACCGTTTCTGCTCTGGAGACAAGTGATGTGTTAATATTTGGGAGCAATTTAAGACATTATGCTACTCTGTAATCTCAATTTTAGCTAATAATTTCGTCCAGTCTGTACTATATTGGTAAATAAATCCCCAAAATCAATAACTCTGCAGGTCTTCAACGGGTGGATTTATCCGCATTAGTTTTACTGGACTCACCTAACTGGAGGCTCTCGGTCATGCAATACATCACGACTGGGTACGCCGTACTACGCATCCCTTTCAACTCCCAGCCAGATTAGATCAAACGTTTTTCGACATACCAATAGCTCTCTAAATATATCTTCTTCTTGGTATTCTTCGTATATAATGGTTTTACTGGTTGTCAAACTCCGAATACATGTGGAATCTTTAGTACCTATGTGATACTCCAAAACCACCCCATCCAATTTTACGAGTAATGAAATGTTGGTCTGTTTAGCTACAGGCTGATTTACACTAATCAACTGAAAATACGAATGCAGTCTCAGTGAATAATATAACTGAGAAGAATACTCTTTATTAAACTGCCTTTAGTTCATCTTTGATGACACGATGGGCTACTTCTATTCCATGACTATCAGAACAACGATGCCAGAAATATTCAAAATTTGACAACTCTTTTCATATTAGCACCTTCATAATCGAAGGATACAAACCCAGTCAAATCAGAAGTTACCAGGGAAGGAGTTCAAAGATATATTCGGAAAGTTACTGATATGTCGAAAAGCGTTTGATCTGAGCTGATTAGTGGCCGCAGGAAATGAGTAGCATGGCTTAATCACTCGTGATCTAGTGTGCAAGCGTGATCGAGCGCTTTCAGCACCAATTTTAAAGACCTACTGAACAATTTATACTAGGCATTTATTCGTCACTAAAAAATTAATGACACTTTCTTTCAGAAAAGTGGATGCGATTATTTTAGTGTTGGTAATATGGATCTCGGTTTTTTGACCACATATAGATAGAGCATCTTTCACCAACATCCATCAAAACTGACTAAACTATGAGAACCTAGAATACTATTAAAAATCAGTGTAAATCTGCCTGCGAAATTACTCAAAATATTGGATGAGATTGTAGCGTGGTATCGACTTGAGCTTGACTATGAACACCGCTACAAGACTACGTGCCAATTAACCAATAAGATCCCCGTAGGCCAATATTAGAAGACAGATGATGGCTGTAGTCGAGACGTATTTGTTGGCGATCTCGTGGTATCGAATGAATACCGAGATCGTGCCAACGGAGTACAAGCGTGGTTACTGAGCGTAACCGAATTCGTACAAGTTCAAAGTCAACGGGAGAGTAAGTATAATGGCTGTCATTAGCACAGTTGAACAAACGAGCATAGTAAAACAGTCACTGGTACAATTGGTTATAATAATAATTGTTTTCATTGAACCAATCGCGTTCTGTTGACAAAAGTAGGTCACTACAAGATCACTATAGAACTATTCTTTTAAAATGCCCAAATTTTTTTATCTTCGTATTCAGTTGCTGGCAATATTAAGTGGCGGCTGTTTTGTCAATTGTGCTTCACACTAATTGACCATGATTGGCGTAAGCAATATTACTAATAGGACGGATCCAAACAGTCTCAAGTCTCGTGTTTTCGTTGGAAATCTTAATACAGTGCACATGACAAAAACAGAGCTTGAGTCCATTTTCTCGAAATATGGAGCAGTCGTGGGAATATCAGTACACAAAGGATATGCGTTCATTCAATACGCAAATGAGACTAATGCGCGAGCCGCAGTTATTGGTGAAGACTCAAAAACGTATTACAATATGGTTTTAGGTAAGATATTTTTAAATGAGATGTTTTCATTTCTACTGGTTTCCACCTCTATCTCGAACTTTCACTCCACTGATAAGTTTTATTAGAAACAATCCTATCCCATTGCCTAATTTCTCTATCACAGATGTAACCATAGCATCCGAACCAAAAAACCGCAAGCGAGGGAGATCGAATATTGGTTCGTCGCTTCCGTCCTGGTAACTTGCTTTTCCTGTATAATAATCGAGTAATTCCACTTTCTAGGAACCCCTTGACAAGGTATGACTCCGTTTTGTTGTTTCGTGAGTTTCTAGTTTCCTCCGAAATTTTGTTTTCAATTTTGCTTTGGATTCACTGTTATAGTTATTCATAATCAAACCTAATAGGGTGTTTATATTGGCTTCAGAATATCAAGCATATTTAAATATATCATTAAATCATCGTCTATGCAACTCGTCGTTGACACGTGGCTTTAGATATTTTGGTATCCACTTGTCGGCTTGTTAATTAGAATTGTTTGTTGAAAAAGTCGGAAACAAACAATATCGGACAAATCTAACTGACGTTTCTACTAATGTAGAGTAATAAATACAAAGTTTCATTTGGAACTACACCCAAAACTTTACACAAGTCGACAAGCTTCAAAAATCAACCACCAAGAAATATTTATCTATACTAAACCATCACCCCCTTACAATGTTGCGTAACATGGAGGCAGGCTGTATAAAATAGGTTGTAAACAGATGTATAAATTGAGTCCTCTACGTCATCAGCTCTTAACAATCTCTAGGTCGGACTGCTAGAACTTTCTGAGTGATTTCTGCAAAATAATCCTAACATACTGTTTCACACTTCAAGTAGGATCGCTCTCAGTCATTTACTGATTATTTACCAATAAAAACTGGCTCGGCGGATCTTGTAAGTCCGTCTTTAAACATTACCATACTTTTAATCGACTTCAATAGTTCATACAATGAGTTGGAGGACAAGCTGTTAGTCTACTTTGTGATTATTTCCAGGGTATGTCCATATTACCCCTCTAGGAATAATAGTAATAAAGACTTGGTTGCATGAATGAATACTTTTTTACTCTTCATTGAGGTGGCCTTTTATTAACTGTTGTTCATTAAAAACATTTATGCCATGGAAAAGGTGTCGAAACTTTCCAAGATTGATCGTAGAATTTCCCACAATATATTCAAACTTCGTTTCGATTACATTTTCAGCACTAACCTTTCAGAACTTGCCTTACAAGCTCAAGCCCTTAGCAGTATAACTGGAAATTCGGTTCTATCACTGCAGCAGTTTGGTTTGGAAGGTATTATGGGCCAGCCTAACCTCGTTAATTTTGCTGCTGCGGCAAATTCAGTGTTCCATACCCCCTCATTGTCTGCCTTAAACGTTTCTAGTGCCCAAACTGCAGTTACAGCGGGTAACATACGTAATAAATATACCAGATTATCGAACGCCACAACAACTACATCTTCAACAACTCCTAACTCTCTTGCTGCCAAACGTACTCGTTTGGATGGAGTGTTAGGTAATACTGGTAATCATAATTTTAACTCGAACTCGTCTTTACCTGCTGGGGCTAGAGGACAGAATTTAGTCTCACTTGTTTCTGCAACGGATAGCCTCATACCTTCAGCAAATCGTCGCCAATCATCAAACTCTGGTCCTGTTCGTTCTGTGTCCGATCAATCAACCAGCAACTCTTTAGTGCGTAATCGAATTGTGACGTCTACTTCCTCTCGTACAACGAACTCATCCACAACCAGTTCAAATCAAAATTCACAACCGGCGGAAAAAAATTCCGATGTACATCTAAATCGCCCACAAAATCTAGGCCATTCCTTCGAATCTGACCATCCTACTGTTCAACAGCCCAATCGTACAGCTTCGTCGACAAAAAGCAATAGTCCCCATTCAAGTAAGTTCAATTATTCGTCTATTTTCGATCATTCCAAGTTATTGCATACAACTTTGTAACCATTATCAGATGAACATTAGATCAGGCTATAAGCAGTTGATAATCTTATTGCTCGATCAACTATTTAAAAATTAAACGATTTCCAACTATAATTTTGGTATTAATGTTACTTTGTCTTTGTTTGTAGACCGTTTATTGCTGAAAAAATTTGGAGAACTAAGAACACTGGTCTACTTTTTGGTGGGGACGTATTCCTATATGTAGGACAAATAAATGAAGGTCAAACATTCTCTACATTTATCAGTCGTTTCATTACTTACGTACGCCTGTTATCCCTCGTGGATGAGCATAGGCCGCCCACTAGCGCTCTCCTTACATCACATAAATACATTTTCAAGTTCAAAATAAATTTAGTAATTTGAAAGAAAAGTATTAGGGATCTCTAATCACATCCTTTACTATGGTAACAGGGTGTAAAAATCATTTGATAATTATTGTTTCTTGTTGTTGATAGAAACTTAAAAGTTAAGCTTGTGGTATAACATATATTCCAAATCCTGTTTTCCTTTGCAGCGTACATCGCTAACCAAAATCTTGTCCACACATGCAACTGCTATTTTGAACCACTAGGCTAAATGAGCCAGGTGTTTCATGCAATTACTTGTAATCAGTACATATTTTAGATTACGTCTACGTTAACCGGATAACAAAATTCAAGCCATCAATATACAATCGTCACATCGTTCCTTTTCGTAGTCATATAATAATAAGTCGCGAAATCGATTTTCCGGAAAAGCTTTAGTTTCCAACTTAATGTAGTTTGCGAAGTATGAATGCCAAAAATCTAGTTATGAAGTAACCATGACTCACTCTAGACTGAAATGAAAATTATCAGTTAATTAAATAAGGATATAATTGGATATTTCTGTCACTTGATATATTTAGGCAGATTAAAATACAATGTTTTCCAAATCTCTCTGTCCGCATTATTTGGAGGTACATATAAACCTCTATTTCTTGTGAATTATTTATACATGGATTCAAAACTTTTAAGACTACTAGTTGTATAGACTCACTAACAAACTTATATTCTGTCGTTTGCGTATTCTTATTCTAGGTGTCCATTCACATTCAGAGGATATTCTGATATGTGGACGTTGTCGTCGTTTATTTGAACAAGTTGATGAACTTATTTCACATAAAATGGCTGGTTGCAGTTTGGACAAAGATAACGGAGCTAGTTGTCGTTGTCGAGCCGGTAAGTGTAAAATAAAACTACGTTCAATCTATCATCCGTGCATTTAGATGCCCCGTATAGTTTTCACTAGCCATGATTTACAATGAAGTTAAATGATAATAGTTACCTGTCTTCAAGTTAATCTTTTATTCATTTTTTGTTTGTTTGGCCATGATTACAATGAATTAGCAATTCCTTAAATTACTTCAAATGTATTTTATAAGTATTCTGTTATTCTATTTGCTACTTTCATCCCCAGTTTTGAACATTTCATCACCTTTCTCTTTCCCTAGTCAGCCTTTTTATTGGCCTATACAAATCAAAGCTATATATAGTCAAACTCTAATGTCTATATTTGATCTGTAACCAATTGAATTTTTCTTCATACATTAAAGCTAGAAAATATCAACCTCTAAGCGGCTTTGAGGCCAATTGTCACTGATCAGTCCATATCCATATTAAACCGTCATCATTCGGACACTTGATCTGACAATATGTTGCTATCAAAAAGAATTTGGCAAGAGGGTAAGGTTTGTTGTTATTAAAGCTAATGTATAAAACACCAATCGATGTGTAATCTACAGTAATACAAAATAACCGAGTGATAGCTGCTCGTGTAACCGAATTATTGACTTAAGCCTTTAATCGAACTAACATAATATGGTAAAACAGCTGTGCGGTGGAACAGACTTTGCTTCAAATAAACTAACGTGCTTATTTACATCATGACGAACACAAGAATACACATGATCAAAGGTTAGTTAACGAATAAATGATTGGAAGGAATAGGAGCTATAGGTCATTCACTCTCCAGTGGAAATAATGCTTGGCAGGCCTAATTCTTGCCCTGTTGAATCAATGCAGTGACTAGTAACATTTATATCTACTCAGTTTAGTACGTTTGTTTTATTTTTAAACCACAAAAGACAATAACGAATGACCCTTCATAGTAAGTTTTTCTTATATTTTTCTACCTCATAATTACAGTCATATGAAGAGCTTATATTCAATACCAGTAAATATCAATATTTCTTGTTAATATAATCATCCGGTTAAATTTCACTCAAGTCAAAAACAATTATGAATCCTTGAGAAAATTTATTACTTTTTTGTTTTAATCCAGATTGAAAAGAGTTTTTTTTTTATGAATATGACCGCATTTTTCTTATTTTAGTTGGTGAACCAGAGAATTTAGAATGTGCATATTGTGGTGCCAACTTTTCAACTGCTTGGGGACTGATGCATCACTGTCATAGTGATCATTTTTTGACTATATATGCCCTTCCATCACCTCCTCCATCCCCTTCTGCATCATCTAATTCTCCATCTTCTGAACGTTCTTCAATAGTTTCTCGCCGATCTGCCAACAATGAAGGGGAGAATTTGTCTGAAAAATCTATGAGATCAAATTCTCACTCAGATAGATCAAATCATACAGGTAAGCACGCTACATCACTTGTGAGGCAAAACATAAAGCCTGAGCATCCTACATTCGATAACCACCATTCTTCCAGTTCACATAGTGTTGAAGAAAACCGTGAAAATAGCGACTGGGATGCAGAGGAGGATGATGAGAATAACGACCGCAGTGGAGGTGATACTCCAACACTGGAATCAGTGCATAATGGAAAATTTAGCTCGCCGGATATCCCAAGAGATCACTCATGTGATCAGTCAGATGCAAGATCTACATCTGGTGCTTCAGATTCAGAAATATCAAATGAAATTCGTAGCAAGCGGTTACTGAAATCACGATCCCCGCCCTGTCCTCGAAGAAGTCGTGGTAGTGAATATGGCCGTCATGAGACTGTAGATGACGATGACTATGCTGATGACGATTCAGAACCTGGTAATATAAAAGCTGAATAATTACTCAGGTATGTTGCGTTATACTTTTCACTTATAGTTTAATCGTATTTTCGTTCATACTGTTAATGAATGCATTTCCAGCTCCTTACAAATAACTATGTAAATCAAATTAAGCGACTAAAGCTGGAAAAGAGACGATACACAGAAAAAACTTTCTTTTTTGACGGACTTATTTCATAGTTTTTGTTCATTTAAATAAACAGGCAAGACAGTAAGTTTTAGAAATATCCATTTAAAAGCAAAATTTTATTATATAGTTGAAATTCACTCATAGTTTGTGGGATATATGATAATTCCCTACATTGTAATCCTAATCTAAACTGTCTCAGATCAATGATTGACAATATCAGGTTTATGCGAGCTTAATTTCCTCAGTTACCTATTCCCTTGAAATACAATTTATTGTGTAATAAAATCAAAAACAACACAACTCACTTTTTATAAAGATTCAGTTAATAATACTACCGTCCAGCAATTTAACAGTTCAAGGTATCAAAATATTTTTCAGTGTGATCACAACCAAACTGCTATTGATAACAAGACTTAAAAAATCTAACCAATGACTTATTATCTTAAGTTGTCTACATATTTAAGAGTAAGTTGTTGACTGATACTCTACCCTCCAAGCATTCCCATGTCTTATATTAAAAGTAAGGCAAATGAGGATATTTGTCTATGAATAAAAATTAAGATGATCAGCTCTGTAATAATACTTTCCCAAAGTTGGTGGTTAGTATGAACATTTCTATTTGGCTTGACTGTTAATCTCAACCATTGTTTTTCAGAGAACATTGTTTAAAGCCAACATTGAATAATTATGAAAGAAGCCTATCATAGTTTATTATTATCGAAATGTATATCATGATGCATAAGTTAGTTTAGTCATATTCTTATCGGTTATAGTAGTGATTTTTCAAATAATAATATTAACAATAACGTGTCCAACCCTAACAGAGCGGGTTGCTTCATGTCCGCACCAAAATTTTGTCAGCCACTGACCGAACACATCTTCTGAGACTTAGAGTATAAGTTAAGTGAGCAACACACTTGACTACTACATAATATAGGCATTAACACAATCTAATCTTGAAATAGTATTTTGCTTGTTGTAGTAAAGAAAATACACCCAAATGTTTTTTGATCATTTATGAAAGGCTATGCATTTTTTATCCATTTCATCGAACAGCACTACGTCATCTGCATACTATAAATCGGTAAGTCTCTACATAGGAAAAGTTATATCTGGGATAAAAACAAAAATGATCAAAGTTAATTGCTCAGACGAAAATCTCTCGACTTAGCTCGATATTATCTGAATAATAAACCTTCAAGAGGCCGATATTTATTTATTCATCTGAACACATAAACATTGGTACAACGGGGTACCAAATACATATGCGCCACACAATAACAATGAGGTTGTGAGGAGATAAGAAATGTAAAGTGCATATAATAAGAAGAACAATGAACAGAAATTAGTGTATGAAAGGGAAATAATAATAAGAGAAACAGTTCAATTAACAAAAATACAACCAGAAAGAATTCTTTCAGTTAAAGAAGTTACATTTGTTGTATTGATGAAAGTTACAGCAACATCACAGCTGGCCTGTATTTTGAACCATGTTTGATAACGTCTCTAGCCAGTGTTGCACCATCTCTAGGAACCAACCAGGGGGTCGTGAAGGACCAACAAAAGCCAGTCCTGTGCAGCTTTCATACCACGATACCATGTCATACACTAACCACCTCTCCGCTTTTTCCAATCAGTCCCAGAGTCGGCAAATAATGCACGACGTGGAATTCTCTGGGACGGCATTCGTAGAACATGTCCAAGCCACTGAAGTCGGTGTTTCAAAATAATGACACCAGTTGAATTATCGTCTCTGTGCCCGAACACACGATGCCGAACCTCTGCATTACTAACATGGTGTTGCCACTGAATGTCAGCAATCCTTCGGAGACAGCGATGATCGAACACAGAGAGTCGTCTAACATCCTCAACTCGGAAAGACCAGGTTTCACAAGCATAGAGCAAAACTGCTCTCATCGATGCGTTGTAGATCCGACCTTTCACAGCCAGACTGACATCACGATGACGCCAAAGCCGCTCTGGCTGTCACTATACGTGCATTGGTCTCATCACTCACGCCACCACCAGCACTTATGCAGCTACCTAGATGCACGAACTTCTCGACTACTTCTATCTGCTCACCGTCCAGGGTGAGTACAAGATTAGATTCCTTCCAGTCTTATAAAAGTACTTTGCACTTGGAAGGTGCAAAACACACACCCTACCTATAGACACTGACTGTCAACTGATTGAATGCGGATTGTATGTCTTGGGTATCATCACACAGTAAGACAACAGCATCCTCGTATTCAAGGTCGTGAAGTTCTTCTTCAGGAAACAGATCCACACCATCGTTACCTACATCCATTGGGTCTGTTTCCAGAACGTCATCGATGACAAAGTTGGAGAGGAATTATGAGATTGGGCAACCCTGTCTAGCCTTACCGCTTGAATGGAAAAGTGGAGGGGTGGTTGTATGCCCTCACTCTGCCTAAGGTGTTGGTATATCGGGCTTTTAATATGTTAGTAAACTTCTCAGGCACACTCTTGTCCTGTCCAACGAATCCAAGGCAGTTCTAATGTCAACAAACACTACGGTTGTTGGCCTGTGATAAGTATGATGGTGTTTCAACATTTGGAGGAGGGTGAAGATATGATCAATACATCCTCGACCAACCTGCTCGTGAGTCAATCTTTCTCAGATTCTGCTATAATGTCTTATCAAAACCCAGCCATTCCTGTTGCTTAGTATTCTTGGACACCAATTTACTCGATAAGTCCCCAAATACGAACATGGTTAAACACAGACGAAACTATATTCCAAATAACAAGGGCAGATGAAAGTAGGAATTGCAATCAGAAAAATGAGTAGGACTTCCATGGCAGAGGCTATATACGCGTGGCCATGTGAGAGCATTTCGAGAGGGAGAGCAGACTCTCCCCACTCTCGGCCGTACCAGGGCGTTTGGGGGCAATAAGAAAAATGCTAGTATATTTATAGTTTTTACACAAGAAGATTCTCAAGTCTTCTCCAAGTATCCACTAGTGCTGACTAGATAAGGAATAGCAAATCAGTGCGCCCCAACATGATCCTGCACAGAACATGCTTTAATCCAATCTATATCCGCTAACAGGTTTTGAACAATCTACGAAATATGACGGAAGCCAATATTTTGGACGTAGTCGGAAGTAGACTTACCTCCGATAGTTGTTGCGGAAACTATGCGAACCCTTTTTAAAGATAGGAACAACTATTGACTCGTTCCATGATGTTGGAACACTCTAATTCCGAGACCTTTGTAAACAACTCAGTCAGTTCCTTAACCAGAAAATCATCACCCTCTTTAAAAATGGCCGGAGGTAATTCATCTGGGCCTGGTGATTTATGTTGCTCCAAGAGTTGGAGTTCCTTGCCGACTTCCAACTCGTTAGATGGATCATCCGCCACAGGCCATGGAGAGTAGGACCGTCTGATCGGTGTTGTCGGGGCAAAGGACCAGTGAAACTGTTACACGAAAAACTTTGCCTGTCGTCCAAGACGTCGATAGATATTAGTGATTGGCATACCGTCACCTTCACAGATTGTTTCACTCACACCAGACTTCTTACTGCCAGTGGCTCGGATGAGTTAAAAGAGCTTCCGGCAGTTACCAGATGCAAGCGACTTTACTCGCCATTTTCATGGCGTCCTGCAATTGCAACGAATGCTCATCTATACTTTTCGGTGGGATGGTAGCTAGTCTTGAACCTAGCTCGGTTTGATATTTAGTCGCAACAGAAGCTACAACCAATTTACTGAAATCGATCCGTTTAAGACGATGAATTTGTTTGTCACTGAAAAGTAAGGTAAAATTAGCGCAAACAAGGGCATGATCAGAGTCCAGATAGGTACTACAAAAGGAGCGGCGGTCTTGTACACAACCACATCAGATGTAGCTGATCGTGATGTGATCAATCTGAGTCCAGGCTTGAGATGCAGAGGGAGGAAGCCAGGTGTCACATCAGTTATGACTGTGCTGGTAGTTAGCGCTAGTCGGAAACGGATTGTAGTCTGCTCATAGTTGCAGTAGACTGACCCCGTTATCTGACCTGAGATCAACAAGTCCTCATTGGCCACCTAAACGACTCTCTTCTGTGCCTAGACGCCCGACTTGAGCATTCAAATCTCCGGTTAGTACTCAATATCTGTTAAACGCACTTTCTGAAGAACAGTTAACTGGTGGTAAAACTCATCCTTGATTTCATCCGGGCTGTAATCTGTTAAAGCGTGGCGGAGATGACGAAAAGACATCGTTTCTCACACCGATTTTTTCATGCTTCGATGGTGCTTTCTAATCTAACAACACATAACCGGCTATTGATGGGGATCCAATCGATCAGTGTTGCCTTAACTCTGGAGCTTAGTGCAACACCGACGCCAGAAAAACCAGACGAAGATGCTACAGAGTCCCCGGATAAACTCACGTAAAACAAACTTTCCGAAGCGATATATGAAGACCGAATTTGTAGTACTTTACTAGAGTCTTGAATACCGGTCTCGGATAGACAACAGACATCGGTGTTGGGACTTTCTAAATACATAGCCAACCGTATCTGTTGCTGATATAGCTTTATGTTGTCTTTTGATCACGAACACTGCCAATAAATCTCTCAGTATAATCCTGCCAGCACTTCAAAAACTAGGGTTGTAGTCAAATGTTGGTAAGTTTCACATCAGAAATATTCCTGGTTTCTTTATATTCACTGTGTATAAACTTAAGCTAAACTTCGAATAATTGTGGAAGCTAATATTTTAGGAGCCATATTATTCACATTAACCCCTGGGTGGCTACCATAAGACGTTTTTGTCGTTCCTTATAAGTAGAAACGACTAGTCATAACATCCAGTTAAATGGAATTACGTTCGGTTCCGAAGCTTTACTTAATAACTAATTGAAAATTCCTGGAGCATCATCTTTGAAGACCTTATATTAACGTATGGACCCCTGTCGCTCTGCTTCACCTCAATCCAGCTATCGTCGTCTTCCCTTTCCGAATAATGTTGGTGGGCAGAATTTGTGTAATATAAATTCATAGAATGCTTCTATCCATTACTAATAACCCAGCTAAACAATAAATCACTGCTTCCGTCTAGGTAATTTAATCAACAAATATCAAATAACCTCATCACTATGTTTTATACAATTTTTCCATCAGTTATGTAGAATCTAAAGGTCGTTGTAATTTTAACTCTGTATCCTTATCTATTTAACAGTTGACTAACAACTTGTATATTGAAATAACTACAAAATCATTATTTAGTTTTATCTTTATGAAATTCTTTGTAATTTTTTAATTTATTATCCTGTATTTCTTTTCCAAAACATAAAAGCTGAGGTGTGAGATTATTTTGCATTTTATTTTATCCATCTCGTTATTCATGAGTAGATTGTTGTAATTAAAATAAGTCGTACGTGTATGCTTTGATCTTTATGACTGGCGATCATTGAGTGTTCTGTTGAAACATTTTATGTGTTAAATGTGAAACCGAATTCAGACATGTTTCGGTAAATTCGCCATTAAACTTTTATTATTCTAGTGAATAGCACTTATTACTACTTTATGAATCCGGTGTCCATCTTGCTGTGCTAATGCGGTATGAAAACTAGGACCAATGCATATATATGCCTGGTCCTACATTGTAGTTGACTGACTGAATATAACATTAAGTATTTAACATGATTATAATTTAACCATCAGCTTCAGTGTATAGATTTAATCTTACGTATACTGCAACAACAACCTGTATTTCACTAGTATGTTGAGGAAAAGATCATAATTTAAAAAATGGTTACTGAGTCCTTGCAAAATAAATTACCGAAAATTATCTAATGCTTAGTTTTATTAAATCTAATCAATGCTTTTATCCAAGATAACTTAACTTAGCCGTATTATTTAGCACTGTAAGGATATTTATACTCTAGTCCTCTTACATGTGATAGAAGTGGTTCACATTAGTTGGGTTACTTTTTATTAGGCTTTTACTGTGAAAACAAATATAATAGACTTAACTAGTCATGCAACCTGTAGACAAGATCTAAACTTCTCTATCACTTCATGGTGCATCTTTACAGTTGATAACGATTGTGCACCTGCTAGCCCCGTCGTAAAGGAAATACACTGTACTTATGGAAAACAAGTTAATTCCTTTCATATTAATATTTCTCCAAAGAATTTCAATGGAACAACTAACTGGTCCAATGACTAGCTATTGATTTTTTAAAATTTTTTTATTCATAATTGAAATGGTAAAGACAGAATTAACAGACCTTCACTATGCACATTGCAGATTCTACAGAATCTTAACCATAAAGTTTGACTTTTAGTTTGTACGTTATCACAGTATACCAGAACTAAAACTTCACTTGGTATAAACGCTAACCTAAATTCCTTTTTAAACTAATAATATAAGAGTATTCTCTTCAGTCAAGTTGATGACAGTGACTTTGAATAGTTTGAAATTTCTAATCACACTGTTCGCTAATTCAGACAATATTTTTAGTTGAAATCCAAAAATTCAAACTTTTAAATTACATTCCATTGTACAATGATCATTATCAGTTAGTTCTTTTTGTTTTTCCGATGTACTATTTATTCCACATGTTCAACCATCGCTATGTTATTCACTACTTTTATTATTAATATATATTTTTTATTGTTATCATATCGTAGCCACAATCCTATTATGTCACTAAGTTAGAATTCAACTTTAACTGACTGTCTTGTAGAGTGATATACAGTCTAAACTTAGTTATGTCCTACTTCATACCTCTTATTCTGATTCGATGTTTTAATTATTGTTCTTCACCTACTGTGTACTGTTAACAAGTAACTGAAATCAAATCTGAAGTCTTCCCATTACTCTTTAGTATATCGTTCTATTTTTAAAATCTTCTTGATAAACTTTTCACAATCATACAACAATTTTCGAAGGGATTTTTTTATTGGCTTTATAAAAATTGACGCTTTACAATGATTCAATATCTTCTAGAAAAAAATCTCATCAATAATAGTAACTTGGAACTGAATGAATTTTTGTTCATTGAAAATCTTTTGAGATAATTATAAGTATTACACGTTAGTATTTTGTAAGTTTTGTCTAATGTTTTAGAAAAAAAAGTTCATGTAACTGAGTAACTATTTGTTTCGTTCATTTGAATATTTTACTTTTTTGTTGTTGTTGTTGTTATTCATCTATTTAACTAATATTCTTTTCATATTTCCTATTTTTAAATATACAATAAAATTGTATATTTATCATTGTTTGAATACATACATATTTTAATGTTCTATTTCCATGTCAATATTGTTCTTTTTTAATAATAATCATAAGATGATATCATCAAATATTGAGCATACAAATGGCAATATCTCATCTATTTCTATGTTTTGTTAGTAAATTACTAAATTCAATCTTTTTTTTTCTAGTTCAATATAAAATAAACTTTACACCAGCTAATATCAAGATTATTTTGATTTTCCAAGCACATTTACACTAGATTCCATCTTGATTTTGACTGAACTAATTGACTATGTGTTATAATAATAAATATGTCAGTAAAATACATCAATGTGAATTATTATGGTTATTACTTTATAAGTTTTTTTTGTTTCCTGAGAAGAAAGAATTCAACCATTCACTGTCTTTTTTTTGAACAAAATCAATTTTAATATTTTGCTCTTTTTTTAGACCAATGCTACCATCACAACAGCAACAATCATATCTCAAATTTGGTTCTACATTTATTCAATTTTCATTCATTCATTTAAGAAGTAATTATAATTATTTACTCGTATATGTGCACTCGTGTTATGCACCATCGATACTAGTGTTGATGTATGAAAATCATCTCCAGTTGTGTGAATTATTTTATTCATCTATTCATTTGTCTGTCTACCGACCACTTGTCTTCATCATTTATTAATGAATAGCAAATTTATGAAAAAAAGAGAATTCGGAGTATTCGAATAGCCTACCGTCTATTGACTCTTCACATTGTATTATGAAATTTATGTTTCATTTGTTTGTCTTACATTATATTCACTGTCATACTGTCTATTATTATTATTATAGTTTCTAATGGTGTCAAACATCATTGTCAATTTTATGTCACAACTAAATTATATTGATAAGTATCTATGAAAATGATCTATTTACATCACATACACATGTAAGTGTTTCTTCTATCTTATATACGTGCTTATCTTCATTGTTTCATTATCTTATAATGTTGCATAGAAAATTGAAAAAAATAAAATAAATTTTTATTCTTTACTACACATTTTTGTTGTTTGTTATTTTGTTTTGTTTCTCGTAATGTTTTTTTTCGGATTACTATCTGTCTATATGGGATCTAATTCATCTTGATCTGAGAGGACTATGTGACTACCGCATGTATTATCTACATTTTTTGTAAATTACCTAGTTTTATTTTCTGTCGGCATTGTAATGTAATCAGATAATGTCACTCTGTGTGTTCAGTCGGTTTATAATGATACACTATTCGCGCGACATATTTTCTTGTAGTTGGTTTTTGATACATAGGCCATTTCCACAATAATCAGTAAATTAGTAGATTTCATCTTTATGGATTACTTGTTTTTCTTCTCAAATCTGCTAGTTCATGGGTTTTCATAATTTTACTCCCCGTATACTCATGTGTTTTTATGGAGCATTGTGCTACACTTCCAAATTTTGTATATAATAGTTCTTTAAAAATGGTTAAGCCATTTATTCATTTTTCTGAACGGCGTTTATGTCCTCATATCTTTGAATATTTCATCAGAAATTTTCTGAAGTATTACCGATTATCAACGTGTTAACAAAGAAAAAATAATATATGCAATGGTTTCCAAACTGTACAGGACACTCGAATATTTTCAAAACTCCATTACTATGAATCTTAAAATGCTAAAAATGCCATTCATACTAGGTTTTTATATACTTGAAATGTATAGTGCTTTTTATTACATATTCTTGTATATATACCTTATCTAAAAAAGTTGAAAGTTAATATTTTTCCAGTATAGTCACTAGTTTGTCGTAATTCGGAGGATTTATCTTGTTCGTATTCATAACATTTTGTTCATATAATAATAATATGTCTATGAGTTATAACTACCCCGTTACACTTTTTTATTTTTAGTCTTATGTTTTCCTTTATTATATTCTCTTAATTGTTTCCTTTGAAGGAAATCCTTCATCTCTCTCTAAACTTACCAGCAGGCTTATTTTTTGATAAGTTTAGCTGACAAAATGCATATTTTGTTCCACTTACAACTCTTATTATTTTTCTTGTGACACTGCATTAAAAAAGAAGCAATAGTGAGTTTTATAATCTCAACACGTTTAAGATATTATTGGCTCAGCATAATAAATTTCCGACGTTTACAAGTAAATACAATATCTAATTTGTATATAATTATTAATAAGACATTATATTGACTAGAGTGATCACTTTGTTTTACGGAAATGAAAATATGATTCATCAAAAAAGGCAATCCACCTTTGAAGTGCTTTTTCAAATTTTTCATGTGTCATAACTGATAGCTACTTACCATAACTTCACTTTCCTTTAATTATTGAGAATACTACAAAAAAATGTCAGTAAGTGATATCCCAATGTTCATCAGTTTACATTAGACAGGTCTTTCTTTGGCAAACTTCACCGTATATTTGTAATATCATGAATTTCGTCATTCTCCACTGTGGTTTTTATAGATTCACTATAAAGCACAAGCATCCACTAATTTTCTCTTATTTGAAGCAATCCTTTCTCCTGTTTTCTTCCTTTTAAGTTGTTAAGACTTGCAATTGTGATTACTTTGACGAGATCTTATAAATAAGCAGAGAAAACAGATAAGAAATATTAAACCCTACATAGCCTACTTATCAATAACAGTATCATTTTAATATTATTTGGGAAGCACGTCAGGAAATAAATTTTAACTGCATTTATTCATCTCACAAACTTTGAATTCTTATAGGTTTATATATGTGTCTTTTTCTATTCAACTCTCCATCTACCCATTCTAGTATTTTTCAATTTTATGAAACTCAAATACAACAAATGCTATTTGAGTTTGCCATCAAATGTATTGTGCACCTCCAGGTATTTATATTTTCCATTTAGTTGAAATGCTTAAAATTATTTCCTATTCAGTGTAGACCGTGTCAGTTATTAATAAGTTAAATCCAACAACACATGATAGGATTAAATGAATGTCTTTATTTTTCCATAATTAAGTTCTTGTATAAAGACAGGAAATTTAAATGCACATTTTGTGTTGTTAAGTAACATATATTTGTGTCAACATGGGTGAATCCATTTAAGGACCCCACTAAAACCGATATTCTAACTATTTCCCTGATCGTTTCGTAGTAAGTTTATCAACTGATTAGCAGTTAATACTCATTGTTGAATCGGTCTTTCTGTCTTCGCTTCTGAATAAATTTGTACTGCTAACTGCAAGTTCTAGGATCGGTTACTAAGTGGACCATGCTAGGGTCAACCATGTATTCAGTGCTTCCAGTAGTTTGACGAAAGTCAGTCCGTAATGTGAAACTTCAGATTCAACAATCTCGATACCCTACAACACAGTTTGAAGACAACTATACTAGATAGCCCCTTATAAGAAGAAAGGCTTAGTTACCACTGGCCTAATATTGCTCGTGGAGATTATATTTTCTGTGCCCAACTTAGACGAGCTGGAAACCTTAAAAGTACTTTTATTTATCTACATTTATCATTTATTTAAGAACATACACATTGGTACAGACTCGAGCTGAAATTCACACTTTTCTTTTTGTAACTGAAAACCGGCTTGTGATATTTTTGTGAGCACCACGTCTAACCGACCTATTAATTCCTGCGCAGAAGAGCCAACAACTATAACGTCATCCAAGTAAACTGCTACACCTTCGACGTTAGACACCATAGTATCCATTATTTGCTGGAAAATTGCTGGGGCTGGCTTAACACCAAACGGTAATCGGTTAAATCGATAGAGTCCACGGTGGGTATTAATAGTTAATAACTCCTTTGAATCTTCGTCAACTTCTACTTGTAAGTAAGCTTCAGATAAATCAAGTTTAAAAAAATAACGTCCACCGTTCAGTCTAATAAATAAATCCTCTGGCAAAGGTAATGGGTATGAATGATTTTGTAAAGCGTCATTTAGTCCTGTTGAAAAATCTGCACAGAGGCGAATAGCTCCGTTCGCTTTCTGAACCACTACAATTGGTGCTGCCCGTGCCGAATAATTGATAGGTTGTATAACACCGAGCTTCTCGAGTCGGTCTAATTCTTTGTCGACTTTGTCAATAGCCGCATATGGGACTTGACGTTTTGGACGAAAAACAGGTTTTGCATCCTGTCGTAAGTATAATTTCGCCTTCTCAATTGTGCAGCATCCCAATTTATTCTGAAACAAGTTTTTATGCTTCTGCAAAAGATCTTCTATCGTTACGACTTTCTTAGTTACATGGACTGTGGGTGGATCGCTAAGATTATTTGCGCTTTTCATCGAGCATATTTCACTTAATGGTACATCCCATAAATTTAGTTTATCTATCCAGTCTATACCAATAAGGTCTAATTCATATCTGTTCGTTAAGTAACAATTTCCTGTAAAGTAATTACCTCGGAATTTAACAGAGCATTTTATCATCCCAACAAGTTTTAATATATCTACGGACGCATTCCGTGCAGTGTGCTCTGTTGGTAATACTTTCGAACACCCAATTAAATCTTACGTTCGTTTCGAGATCAGTGTGACATCTGACGCTGTGTCCAATTGCAATCGAACATGAATACCACTAACCATTAATTCCACATATCTTCTTTTATCTGCTACGCTTAGAGCCACTGTGGAATATATACTGTTTATATATTTATTTTGGTACTGGTGAGGACGCCTGGTTTGTTTCGATCTCAAACTTTCTTTGGTTCGGCAGACTGTTTCTTTGTGGCCAACTTTATTGCTTATAGTGCATTTATGATTTCTAAACCGACAAAATCTTGAGAAATGTCACGCACCACAATAGCAACATTTAGTTGCAGGTTTAGGAGTTTTCGAATGATATTTATGACTTTTGGTATTATTTCGTCTTTGACTTGTCTTGACAGCATGAACAGAATTTGATGGCGCTGCACTTTTGGTTTCCAGCATAGCGGTATCTTGTTTTAAGTTTATTAATCGTTGGCATTCAGTGGTGATAGTTTGTAACGTCATTTCATCATCATGTTCCATACGGGATAACAATTTCATGCGAAAATCAGCATCAACAGGGGAGTTTAGACCAGAAATGAATAATAAGCATTTAAATTGATCACTGGTTAATACATTTAATTTAAATCGTTCTGCTTGTAAATTTACTCTTCCGGCGTACGTAGTGTAATCTTCATCAGCCTTTTTAGTCAGCTGTAGACAATTATACCGGATACGGAATAAGGACGCCTGTTCACAAAACATTTTATTTAGGATGTTAACAGTTTCTTCGAAACTAACTTCTCGTGGGTGCTTAGGCAGGATATGGTTTTTATAGTTTTGGTGCTCGTTAGGACCAAGCTTCTGTAAGAGCAGTCGGACTTTCTTTGCGTCATCCATAGCAGCAAATTCCACTCGGAAAATATCTTCAATTCTGCCAAACCATGCTTCAAAAGTGTGATCATTGTCCGCATCAAATATAAATTCTGAAACTGGACTAAGACATGACTCGATACTTTTATGTTCTGGAATATCTTGTTGAATAGATAGCTTCCCCAAAA